GCACATACTTCCCCAGATCCCGCCACCGCGGCAAAATCAACACCGGCAACAGCGGGATCGAACCCGGGCCTCTCGCAACAGCGGCGGGAACAACAACAGCAGCAACAACAACAACAACAACAACAGGTCGGGGGATAGCAACAACAATAGCAACAGCAACAACAACGAAAGCAGAGACCAGCAGCGCCGTAACAACCGACACCGCTCAACGCACGGCGGCGACCGTTCCCACCGCCACCACCGCCACCGGCGACGCCTGCGCTCCCAGCCCTCGTCCTCCTCGGCCTCCCAGGGCGAGGGCGGCATGTGCAAGGAGCCGTGTGTCAAGTGTGTAGTGACCGTGACCTCGTTCCGCTGGGTGCTGGTGGTGCTGTCCGTGCTGGGCGTGTGCTGTGTGGTCACCGGCATCGTCCTGGCCGCCCTGCACGCCGCGGGGAACAGCTTTCTCTTCCTGGCCATTATGTTCATTGGTGAGTACTTTTTGCTTTGTCCACCCTTAGCCATTATGTTTATTGGTGAGTACATTGTTTGTAATTTGCTCTGTCTGCCCTCAGCTTTCCCATTGGCGTCGGTAGTCTAGTGGTCAGGCGTCTTCATCTACGCCTATACCTTCACCTTCACCTCCACCTTCACCTCCTCCTTCACCTTCACCTTCGTCTTCGCCTTCACCTGTGCCTTCACCTTTGCCTTCACCATCCCTTTCGCCTTCAGTTTTACCTATGCCGTAGTCTGGCTGATTGTTGGGGCACCACTGCAGATTTTGCAAACCATTTGTCATCAGTGTTCGTTGCTCTGGGTGGGGGGCTCTTTGAAGATTCTTCATCTTTAACCTTTCTCGCTCCTTGTGTGTGTCGAAGTATAAGCCACCATCAAGAGCTTTCCGTCTACTTCTGTTCTGGGCTGTAGTCTCCGCCTATGTCCAAGTACTTTCAGCCCTTACCTGAGTTGAAAAATACCCAATTGGATGTTTTATTTATTTCGACATTGAGAATGATCGTTTATAACCGTTCCATGGAAAGATGAAGGCGATCGCGATGGGGTGGGGAATGGAAGTGGTCTGTTAAGTAGTGATTACGTAAGCAATGTTGAGTTTTGGCTATCGTTTTCGCTTGTTATGAGAGCATTTTTCGTTATCAAAAAAAAAATCCGGAACTTTTCCTTTTCTCTGAATGAAAGACTAGAACAGTCCAGTGAATGCTCCTGTTGAACGACTCGTATGTTTGCCTCGACGGCGTCCTTCCTTTGCTGAACTCAAATTTTGAGTCCGTGGACCTTATACTTACGAATATCCCAGAATGGGGCACGCCAATTGTGATAGATGTTCTCATAATACAGCACGATAAATAATATTTGTGAGGCAGCGTGGTGGAATCAGGCTCTCGTCAAAAAAATCAAAGTGCAGAAACTTGCATTTTTCCGCAGGATTGAGAATTTTTATCAAATTTTTGTTTTTTGGCTCAACAGCTTTCATGCCCATTAAAGAACTCATTTTTGTGTGGATTTTTCTGAAAAACGTTGATTAAAAGCACAAAAAATGTAAATGTTCAGTTACCACGGACTCATAAGCTAGGGAAATAACTAATCTCTGGCGGCTATTTTCTCACTAATTTTAC